TGACCTGACCTGGAAGGTCACCTGATGACCTAGGGCCTTAAAATTGGGTATCATCGGCTTCGTCTCGTGACGGGCAACACGCTCGTTTTTTCCGCGAAACTCTAGCTCGATCAGGGGCCAAACGCGAGGGGGGGGGGGTCGTACCAACACCCCCCCCCCCCCTTGTGCCGTCGAAGGACGCAAAATGGCCTGTGCCGGCGAGGGTTAACACGCACACTGGTGCCCCACCAGTGTAATTGAGGATATTTTGGCCCCCCGTATCTCCGAACTATTGGACGGATTCGCAAAACTCAAACGGCGTTCGGTAGCCCTGTTGCCTTGAGAAAATTAATTTCATTGACCTCAGGGTCACTGATGACGTCACAGGTCAGGCCAAACTTACATTTTTCACCGTTCACGGGCCTGCGAACATCTTAGTAGTAATTTTTTAAAGCAATTTGGACAATGCGTTATAACATTGATTAAAAGGCATTTTATCGAAAATCATCGATAAAGCGTTGGTTGTCTGGTACAGATGTTGCTAAAAGACGTCACTGATACCAGGTCAGGTAACCTAGAGGTCAGGTCACCAAGGGTCAACACATGAATCCAACTTTACTAGGGCCGTGTGATGCATGTTTTGTGGCCAATTTTTCATTTCCAACGCAAGGGTTTTGGTTAGACGGCCATGAGGGACGGTTTAGATAGGTTACTTTCTGGTGGAGGTTAGGTCAAGGTCTGGTAAAAAGGTCAAATTTCGAAGTTGATACTTTTGCATAAAAAGAGTACCCCTCATCACGGGGAATCCAATCGGTCGGAAAACGTCCTCAATTTTGCGACCGATACCCCCGAACCCGATTACGACACGCTGACGAAGTTTTGTGATACAATTCGAAAGCTCCGACCCAAACGATTTCTTGGGGGATTTAAGTCCGGATGAACTTATAAAATTCCGAGACATACAAGTTGTGGGTAGCTACCAATGGCCTTATTACAGCGTGCACTGCAACTTTCAAAGGACTCGGGCATCTACTGAAGCTCTGAAGCGGTGACAAAATTGCAAAAAAAGGTTTTATAAAACATATTCATCTGTGCCTTCTGATGCGATAGTCCGGCACTTACAGTGTAGCTCATGCTGATGGCTATGCAATAACCCGTGTCTCGAACATCTAGGATATACCTGAACTGGGTGACCTAAACTTCTGAGACCGGGGTTCCACAACTTCACACGCGATTAGAAATTGAGGTATGATAAGCTATGCCAAGTTTAGCGGCGCTTTTACGGGCAAAAATTGCAAGTTTGACAAAAAAAAACGCCCCACTTCCCCAAGCGAGGATTAATGAAGCAAACACTATGAATGTGACTGAAGCTGCTTTCCTGACACTCATTCTGTTAGCCTTTTCATTATTGCGGTTTCTCCCTATCCGTGTGTGTCGGTGCGGGTTCGGCCCAATGTGGTTCGACTGAGAGCATGACATCTGGTCCTTTCCGCCCGGCCTGACCGGCGCGGCGGAACCGTGCCACTCCTCCCCGAACTCGCGGGGCGCGGATGGGGAGGGGCGGTCCGGCAGTCGAACCCCTCTGCGCTAACAGATGGATGGACAGGGGAAATGTGATACTTGTCCTGTGACAACAAACCGGCGTTCAGCGCTAGGGCCATCTACTGCTCTAGAAACGTATCTCTATGTCGGCAAGATCCTCGCCAGGTGGTGTAAAGGTCGCGTGAAACGCACCCTTAAAAGATGTATCTTAGTAAAAGTTATCATATTTACTTTACACATTTAATGCCTGAAACTGAATCGAATAGTAAACATCACCACTAAAAATATTTACACATTTAATACCTGAAACCGAATCGAATAGTAAACATCACCACTAAATCTAAGCAAGCCTTCCTCGATTCGACCGACAAGTGGCGCCTCTACCGGCAAACACACGTACTCGAGATTCAAACATTTGACACCGAGTTCATTGGCAGCAATATAATTTTTCGGGTGGTTCCGCAAGAACGCAGGAACGCTTCAAAATTTCGGGTGGTGCGTTCCTCTTACTTGCGTTCCTTTGAAAAACTTTGCGTTCCTGCGTTCTTGCGTTCCTAAAAAGGGCGGTGCGTACGTACGGAAGAACGCAGGAACGCACTAAAGGAACGCACTTGCCCAGCTCTGCTTAAAATATGCCCTGCCGCGACATAGGTATCGACCTCACACAACCTCAGACTTTTACAGCATCTGGAGCATGGCTGTGGTAATTGGTTCTGAAGGTTCCTTAGCAATGCAGTTGAACAATAATAAATAATGATCGCCACTCAACTGCAAGTTAAGCAGCGAATGGGCGTCACTTAATATATGTAGGTATAGTCTCTCTTGAAAGTATCGCGTCCTGGGCTGCGGCGGCTCAGCGAACTATTCCATTCAGTTTGAGGACCCCAGTAGGGAGGTCATGGCCTGTATCATAAAAAGTACGCTGTAACACGATTTCACGCCAGCGGTAGAAGGAAAACTGCTATATGACGCAGGCCCCAGCGGCTGACAACTGGGTCAAAACAGGCGGAGGCCGGCCAAAGGTCATGCTCGTATCGCTCTCTCTTGACTCCGTCCACCGCCCCAGGCGGATACCGGTGCCTCTTGGGCTCACCAGCCGGGCGCTCATTGGTGTGCCAAAGGGTGTGCCTTACTGGGCGCCAATCACTCAGTGTGCGTGACGCGTAAAATCACAACGAAGCGAAGTTCCGCCATAACCCTACTGTGATGAGGCCTTCTGAATGACGTAAACAGGTCATGCGGGGGGGGGGGGAAGCCTGGCATTAAATAAGTTTTTAAAAAGAACATGGCTGAACAGCATTTCTTTTCTTTTTTTGTCGCCGTTCACTAACGGCCCATTAACAAGAGAGAACTTCAAATACAGGACTAAATGGCTAGACAGCGAATTGGCGAACTGGCTAGAGAGATAATTTTTGTTTTTGAATCCGCTTACGAGTGCATGTGCAAGCACGGATGCATTCTGTTAGCGGGTGCAACTGATGATTTTTTGGGTATATGGGCACGAGTTTCCGGATTTTACCCCCCCCCCCAAAAAAAAATGTGACAGTCGTGCCGATGACGAGTCAAATTGCTAACTTTGCAATGAAACAAATCTCAACAAATCATCTGCGAGTAGGGTGGCTTCCCTTGACCACATGCTTAGCTGCCATCACAAGTTACCGGATGGCGACTGCCACCTCCCCCTATCCCTCCGCAATCCGCAACCACTCCCCTCGGCCCGCCGCGCCGGCTGCCTCCGCGTGTCAGACTTCGGTCAGTGCTACCAGCGGCTCTCAAACCTTTCCGCTCAACCGTGGCTGGGACAGGTGGCGCCTTCCCTCAGAGTCGCGATACTTTCAAGAGAGACTATACATAGATATTCCTTAGAACTTAGAAGTCAGGGTCGTTTCGTCCAATCCGTGTTAACCCGTGTCCGCTAGGGGTAGGTACTGCCGACTTTTGGTCCCATGCAAAGCCCATAGGGCTAACGTTAACCCGCGTCCTGGTGGAGGGCTATTTTTGCCCCCCTCCCCTCCAGACTTTTGGATATATATCCAGAACCGCTGCGCCGATTGTCACCAAACTTTCAGTTCCCTCCCGGACATCAATTTTACACATTGTGACCAAAATTTTCCAAAGCCTTTGATAGGTTGGCCGGAGAGTGACGTCATGTTCTGCCGTTTTCGACCCAAAAAAGGGTTGCGCGGGAAGAGCTGTCAGGCATAAAGCTTTGCATATTCAGAAAAATGATAAAACATAAAAGCTGTAGAATTGACAGGGCTACAAAACTGCTATCTCGGATTTTTGAAATTTTTCGATTTTGACCCGAAAAAAAAAATAAAAAATAGATTTTTGAATATAATAGCCGAAAAATCCAAAAAGTTTATTGAATTTTTGAAAAAAAAAACGGAAAATATGTGATTGTCCTTACCGCCTTCTATCCACATACCAAATTTGAGATCGATACCTCTTTTTTTGGCCAAGTTATAGCGAAGAAACTGTTCAAAATTGATGACGTCAAATTTGCAAACTCAATTTTTAGCAATTCTAGACCCCGTAGCGCAAAAAAAAGACCACCATTAGACCCCCCGTGACGAGCTGCATCGAATCAATGCCCATTTTATGCAAAACTATCAACTTTAAAATTTGACCTTTTTTTACCTGGCCTTGACCTGACCATCACCAGAAAGTGACCTAAGCCGTACCTGATTGATCTTATAACCAACACCATTGAGTTGGAAATGAAAAATTGGCCGTAAAACATGCATCGCAGTTCGCACAACCTTAGTAAAGTTGGGTTCATGTGCTGACCCTTGGTGACCTGACCTGTGAGCTGACCTGGTATTGTCAGTGACCTCTAATAGCAGCATATGTAGGTACTAGGCAACTGACGCCCTACCGCTGATTCTCGACAAAATGCGTAATCCTCGGTGTTATTGCGCATTCCCTAGAACACCCGTGAACGGTGAAACATTTCATCTTTGACCTGACCTGTGACGTCATCGGTCACCCCGAGGTCAATGAAAATTGGTTTTCTGCAACAAATTTGACAGGCCTTTCGAACGCCATTTGAATTTTGCGGATCCGTCCAGTAGTTTCGGAGATATGAGGGGGGGGGCAAAAAATAACCCCCCCCCCCCCCCACCAGGTCGCGTTATAAACAGATCCCACCAGGGCGCGGGTTAAATTGCCAAAATCAGTGGGCACGGTGCTCCCCCCGTTCCGCCGCCTATGCTCTATAGGCCCCCAACCTGAGATCTCTAACCGGCCACTGACTTTGTTCTTTGAGGGCACAAGACTTACTTTTAGACGTCACGCACTGGCCTCTGAGGTCCCACATCAGCCTCTGGGGATATGGCCTTTGAGGGCGGTGTGGCAATGGGCCCCTTTAAGCTAACACCCCCCCCCCCCCAGGGTCGGCAGGGGCCCCTTTGCCAAGTTGCCCCCCCCCCCCCAAGTCTGCAACCGCCGCTGCCCCAGCCCGGCCTCAGACACAGCACTGCTCCTCCCCCACCGTATGTTTATTTTACGCCCAGCTGCGGTGCCGGCGGGCAGCGGACCTGTTTACAAGACTGATAAACACAGCACGCACACACCAGACGCCGGCCGAGCAGGCGCCTCGTGTCGAGAGCGGCACACAGGACAGTGTCGCAGCCGCCGGACGAGCGAGGATGGAGAGCGGCACACGGCACACAAGGTTCCAACACCGTCCCCCGGGCCTAAAACAGCCCCTCCTTCCCTCACCACACAGACACAGCAGCCAACCACCCGCCCTGCCCAGCCCACTGACCAGCGACCGCCGACGATCTGTTAACGAGCATTTGGGAAGAGTGGGAGTCAATTTTCATCGCTAAAACCACGACCATGACTTATCTCGGGTTGGTTCGCTTTAAAAAGAAAAAATCAACAACGGGCGGCCGAATATGTATTTATAGTGCCCAGCGGAATAGGCCGGAGCCGAGTGGCGCCGCTGTTGACAGTGGCGCCACACAACGGGCGATATGGGAACCTCAGCCTAGGGCGTCAACCGTTTGGGGTCGCGCGGGAACATGGACGTCTTGCGGATGTTGTCCAGCCCGAGGTAGAGCATGCAGACGCGCTCCATGCCGATGCCGCCGCCGGCGTGAGGCGGACAGCCGTACTTGAAGCTGTCGATGTACGCCTGAATCTTGGTGATGTCTGAAAAGGACACCAGGGTGTTAGAAAGGCAGGCTTGTAGGTGAGCGCAGTTCAGTTTTGAGCCTGACAGCAGCTGGACTAAGATGCCCGCGGCGCCACGCATCCACTACTGTTCGATGGAGTGTGTTCAAGGCACTGCTCACCGACACAGCACCCATAATGACGGGATCAGTGTGTGTATGATCGACAATGACTGGACACTGGTCGCCTTCACACGGCACGGAAAAGGCACCGGCCACCGCACTCCCTCCCCCCCCCCCCCCCGCCACTACCGTGGGACGGATCGATATGGGACGGTCAGCTACCGTACCTACGCCGGGGCAGATAGCCGGCCTATCCGTCAATTCCCAGCTTTTGATTCCTGTCCCCGTGGCCGTACCTGACCACTGACCAGCACAAGTCATATATGCCCGACCTCCGCCCCTCAGCGTGCGTCAGTCCAGACGTCTGAGACATCCTGACCCTGGGGCTGACGCTAAGGTCTGACCGACCGACCCTGACCAGCCCCGACTCTGGGATTATAAGGTCACCCTGCCCAATCCACGGCCGCCCTGTCGGACCAGCGCCGATTCTGGGACTCACTAACGCCACCCTGCTCGCCCCACGCCCGTCCCCGCCCGCCCCATACCGTCCCCTACCTATCCCCGTCTTACACTGTCCCTTACCTAATCCCCGTCCTGCCCTTTCTCTCATATGCCTGCCCAACCTGCCCTTTCCCCCGTGCCTGCCCACCCCACACCGCCCCCTAGCTATCCCCGCCCTGCCCACCCTACACCTATCCCCGCCCTGCCCACCCCACACCTATCCCCGCCCTGCCCACCCCACACCGTCCCCTACCTATTCCCGTCCTGCCCCTTCCCTCCCGGTGCCTGTCCGTCCCCGACTGACCAATGCCGTGGTGTTTGGCCCGCTCCGTGAGGAACTCGGCGTCGTGAATCCGCTGCGCGCCTGACAGAATCTCCTCGCCGCGCATGAACATGTCGTACGAGTTGCTCCAGCGCCCGTCCTTGGGGTCGGGCATCGTGTAGAACGGCCGCACTGCCAGCGGGTACTTGTCCATGATGAAGAAGTCGGTGTCGTACTGCCGGACAGCGCGGGGAGCGGTCAGACGCGGGTATCGCAGAGTCGAGCTCAGCTGCGTAGGAGGGCGCGGGGTTTTCGCGAGGCGTCAGTGACTGAAAACTACGCGGTGGGGTTCGATGTGGGATTTGACATGTATACGGTAACAGTAATGTACCAGGTTGTGTACGGGATTGTGTACGGGATTGTGTACGGGATTGTGTACGGGATTGTGTACGGGATTGTGTACGGGATTGTGTACGGGGATGGGTACGGAGCTGGGTACCGGGTAATTGTGGTACAGGAACTGGCCAGCAGAAACGCAGCAGCTGTGAGCTTGATCGCATTAATCCCAGTACCATATTCGACTGAGGTAGGGCGAATTCTAGCATCGTAAGTGACTCGGCTCTCGGCTATTTTTTATTGCAACTCGGCGGGAAATCTCGGTGATTCCGGCTCAATTTCGTTCTATTTTCGACTACAAACTCATTTCCTTCCCCCCCCCCCCCCCCCCCGAGCGTGCTCTGAAGTTCTCCCCACCGACTGCGGCGCCGACCTACCTTGGCCTTGACCAGCCGGCCGAGCAGCTTCTCGTTGGGCGTCGAGAGGTCATCCTCGTCACCCATCTCGACGCCCGCCTCCCGCAGCATCTCCACGCCCTGGATGAAGTCGAGGCGCAGAGGCGGCTCCAGGAACCGGAACGGCTCCGACGGAAACTGGCGGCGTACGGTCTCGATCTCCGTCTGGAAACTGACGCCGGCACGACCGTGTCAGGTTAGTTCAGGTGGTCAGGTCAGGTCAGGTCGACGTACACACCAACTGAGAGATGTCAAGCCATACATACAGATCGCGTCGCAGCGGTGGCGGCAGACGAGAGAAGCCGTGACGATACAAAGGCGTGACAGATCGCCAGGTGCCTTCCGTCCGCCGTACGGCACACCCTACACCGCGTCCCTACTGTTATCTTCAAACATTCAGCACCAAGCCGATTCCCCTCCCCTTCTCTCCCCACATTCCCCGTTCGTTTGCCTCACTCCAAGACCCGCCGGCTCACTTGTCGCGCAGGCCCTTGAAGATCTCGGTGAAGAGGTTGCCGATGGTGTCGACCACCTCGTGGTAGTGATGCGCGAACGCCATCTCCAGGTCGAGTCCGACGAACTCGGTCAGGTGGCGGTGTGTGTTGCTGTCCTCCGCTCGGAACACTGCGGGCCGGGCGGGATGGTGAAGGGAACGTAGGGGAGCGGAGGGGTGATAGTGGGCGTGGGGTACAGACCGCACAGACAACAGAGTCCGTAGGGGATGGTCGTTTAACCCTACAACGCCTAGGGGGGGGGGGGTTGTATCAACCCCCCCCCCTGAGGTTTTTTCGAAGTGCACGCTAAACGGCTTGTCGTAGCGGGCTGAAATTTTTGTCCGGCATATATGTGAATATCGATTACTCAAAGTCGTTGTTCCGTGACATTCCCCATAAGTGTCCAGTGTCCGCTGTCCATATGCTTACAGCTTATAGGCTTATAGGCTTATAGCGACCAGCGACCATGATGAAATTCACTGCTCATGGTAACACTGAATTTAACCAATGAAACGAGCAACCATTCACGCAGCTCGTTAACTCAGGTATTGGAAACGACTTATTCAAATAAAAAGTGATTAATTTTTAGCATCAGTGCCGGGATTCGCAAGCTACGAGCTTCCCTCCCCCTCTCTTCATCCTCCTCCTCTCCTCTGCCCCAGCTCTCACCGGCGCCGACGGTGAAGACCTTCTCGAAGTCGGAGGCAATGGCCATCTGCTTGTAGAGCTGCGGCGACTGCGCCAGGAAGGCGCTGCTCTTGAAGTAGGACACGGTGAACACGTTGGCACCTCCCTCGGACGCCGCCGAGATGATTTTGGGTGTGTGAATCTCCACAAAGCCCTGCCGAGCGGGCGGTGAAGGGGGGGGGGGGTGATCAGACGGGGGTATATGAGGGTCAGGTGGTATGAGAGGACGGGCAATGCGGGAATCAGATAGTTCATAGAGGTGAGGAGATGATCAACCAATACGATGGAGGAGCAAATATTCATGACGGGGGCAAGACATACGGATCAAATGACATCTGGACAGAAATATCAAATCTGATGACCACCAGTTTCGCAAAGCGGCCAATATCGACGAAAATAAGCGTCTTTCACCTCATAACAGTTACTCCATCGCAAAATGCAAAATGACCAAAGCAAACACAAAACACGAGTACCACTCACAGGGTCTAGTAAAGACTCAAGTCCACCGTGGGGTCAAACATAATTACGATTCACGAGTGCGCCCTACCACCACCCCCCGCCCCGTTCCCCGTCCCCGAACCCTCACCTGGGCAGTGAGTGTCTCCCTGAACAGGCGGCAGATGCCGGCCTCCACGCGGAAGATGGCGTTGTTGGTCGGTGTTCGCAGGTCCAGCACGCGGTAGTTGAGGCGCGTGTCCTGGTTCACGCGGATCTGCACACCCTCCGGCTCCTGACGGTCACGTGATGTTCATACAGTGTGTATGAGGAAAAGTCACGTGATAGCACAGGGGGACAGTGCGGGAAAAGACACGCACCGGTGCGGTTATGTCATGAGCACCAAAGAATATCATCCACCACTTATAACGTTGTTATTTGCATTTCGTACCAGAGGGAATGGATATTCTAAACAGGATATCATTATCTCTTCAATTATGATTCAATCTACTTCTTTCAACATAATAACTGACGGTAGGCCACTATTTGGTTACACACAGAGTGGTCTATAATCCAGGTGCACAGTGCTGCCACAGAAGCACCAGACGACTATAGCCGTCCACAGCTGTGGTTTACTATGATCGGCCACACAACACCAGGCATTTATTTAACTGCCGTCCAAAGGCAAAACCCATTATGTTACATTGACCTGTGACCTAACATAATGGTTTTTGCCACTGGACGGCAATTGGTAACGACCAATCACCGCTCGACAGACACACACATACTAACTCAGCCGCCATAACGAGCCTGAAAAAAAAAACAGTACATACCAGACATATGTACATCGTTCCAGACAGAAACGATGCACATATCAGATAAGACGCGTCACTAGCATCGCCATTGTCCTTTGTTGCTGAAAGGGTTGCGCAACGAACTGCATTGCATCGCGGAGAAATAGGCGCCTCCGCCGATCGTCCGTCCTAACCTGTCCCGCACCAGTCAGAATGTCCGTGCTCCGTTTTGAGCTGTCACATACCGTTGAGTCTTCGGACTTGCCCAGTCATCCTACCCCTGTTCCTTTCGTCCCATCCCTGTCCCGTCCGGTCCACCCCTGTGCATGTCGCCCCATCCTATTCCTGTCCCGTGCCATCCGTTCACAAGCTGTCGCGACCTTGGTAGTCCTGCCGCGAGCCGCGATAGGCAGTGAGCGGGCAGCACTGTGCGGACCATACTTCCGGGAAAGTCGCGGCACACCGGGTGACTGCGGCCGGCCGGCCGGCCGGCGGCGCGGGCAACTCACCGAAATTATACGACACGGTACGGCGCGGCAAGGTGTGAGACACCACATCAGGCACCGCACAGTAAGGCAAGACACGGCACAGTAAGAAACGCATAAATCACAGTGAGGTACAGTGAGCCACAACAGAACACATCGCACACTATCATATGACACGATGATTTCGTCAACCATTCTCCCCTCCAACTCTCGTCCCCCGCCTATGTTGACGCTTCCACCATATATGCTGACCTCACTCACTCCCTTTCCTACCACTACCACTTTTAACGCTCTAGGTACCCCCCTCAACCTAGGATACCTATCCAAACCGCACCTCCGTGTCCGGCCGACACGCATCCTCGATCTGCAGCGGCAGCTGCGGCTCCGAGGCGGAAACCACCCAGAGTTGGGTGACGTGCAGCTCCACCTCCTGCTGGGTGCACGACTCGATCGGCTGCGGCGAGCGGCGCACCACGCCCTCCACGTCGATTATGGACTCGCGCGCCACGCTGACCAACGGGAGAACAGGTCAGATGGTCACGGTGAATGAGTCAAGGTGTCGCATAACCATAAAATACATGACATCTCAAGAAGTCGTGACATTATCATAAAACCATGGTTTGGAATATGATGCGTATCGGAGAAACGAGTGAGCCATTCAAAAGATGGTGCTGACGAAGACATTTACCGCAGACACTATCAAGTATGCCATTACTGCGAATTATAAAGGGGTTTGTATTGGCCACCGGCCGCAAGTCCATTTGTAAAGCGCGTTAACTTTGCTCATGTATGGTAGCTGTTATTAAGCTTCCAACGAGTTCAACACACCACAATTGTCATCCATCCGGCTGCCGGCCGCGTCCGTACCCCGGTGGCTCCGATATCGCCCCGTCCCCTCCCCCCCTCCCCTGCCCTTCCCGGCCGACCGACTCACTTGGCGGCGAACTTCACCATCTGTTTGCTGGTCTCCGCTCCCACGGCCAGCAGTGCCTGTACCGTGAATTGCTGCTGACGAACCACGAAGAAACACTGTTTGCCTGCGAAACGCCCAGGGGGAGTCACCTAAGGCATGGCGGATTACGGTTATGAGGCGGCTAAATTAAAATACCAGCGGAATACCGTAAGTAGTAAACGGCATCGCGATAGGTTGATCATCTGGAAACCGGAAGCCGTGCAACATGAAGTCGAGTTTTCCTGTCCCTAGCAACTAGCAAGTTCAGCAAGCAAGGTTTTAAGAAATTATTGTTCTTATATGCATTTCGACACTTGCGGGCGAATAACATTTGAATGCGATTTCATCCGTGCCCACTGCCCAGGTTAAAAACTGGAGATAAGGATGATTGATTTACGCATCAGATCAATATAAGGGTAGGTACGTAATGCTACTTGGATACTGATCAACAAACCACGTTTACGGCTCAGTGACTTCTGACACTGTTAACACCGCCGTTCAGTGCCATGAACCCCTGTTTCGCCAATGGCACTCGGATGTAGCCACGTGCAGCTATGTGGTACCTATCTGATGCACTTGTCTCGTCTTCTGGCCAGCAAGCAGGGCCGTATTTACCGTAGCTATCATACGGCACGATAATGGCAACCCACTCTGCCAAATGTCCCGGAGGACCAGACCATCATATAGCAGAAAACCCTGTCTCATGGTGTATAACTAGTGGCAGAAATTAACGTGGATTGTTAATTATTTCGAAGAAATAATGAACTAAACGCCGCTATCAGAAACGGACCGACCTTTCCATCCTTCCCGTCCAATATGTGCTGTGCTGCTATCCTAACTTGATGCGTGCTCGTGGATGTTTTGAATAGTAGCGAGTCCTGGCACCCCTGACTTCCTCTCTACCGCAGTACCCACCACTGACTGGCTCCACACTTCCCCTCCCCACACCGGCCCACCCTAACGCCCCACACCCTCCCCCCCCCCCCACACCGGCCGTACATACACCCCTCCCCGCCCACACCATCGTCCGCCAGCGCCACACCAGCGCCCACCTTTGGCGCGGCTGGTGTGCAGCCGACCGCGCACCCAGAGGCGCTGGCCGTCCTGCGCCGCGGTCAGCTCCTGAACGCGGTGCAGCGGCCGCTCCAGCAGCTCTGCCGACTGGTTCATCGGCTGGCGGCCGTAACGGCCCGAGGAGACGTCCGTCTCGACGGCCGCTCCGTCGGCGGCGGGAGCGTCACCGCCGGCCGGCTTCTGAGGGTGGCACGGGGTGGTGGATGCCAACCTTTGATGGCAGGGTGTGCACAATGCGTGATTTGTGATGGAAAGATGGGATGTGGCTGAGACTTGCCACTTGTTAGTGAGATGATGGTATTGCTGTTGTCTGGTAAGATGCCAGCTATGTGGTTCTGGATGGTGAGAAACAGGTGGTGGAATGGGTTTGCATTTCTAAAAAAAGAGGCAGTTGAGGAGGATGCACACAATGAAGTCACAGAAGGCATTTAAAACAAAGCTGTGTCCAAATACAAATAGCACAATAGCACACTGTTTGTCCTGAAAATAGCACAAATAAGAACAATCTATTCAGTAAAGTGCAGACTGTAACTTGTATTTTTGAAATTATCACTTCCCAGGAAAGGGATATAACAGTGAAAGTTATATTAAGTTACCAAGTTATATAATATACTATTTGTGGGGTGTCTATCTATTCCATTAAACATAAGAGTAGTGTCCAGAAAAAATATAGGGATACCAAACAGTTTAAGGTTTGAAATGCAAATATTTCTTCTTACCTTTAACACCACCTGTGATTTGACTGAGAATATTGCAGCTTTTAGTTTCAGCACTAAACCACAATGAAATTATTCTGACAGCATGGCAACTGTGATATGTATACCAATACATTCAGTCATGATCACTGGCATTTTCATTTTACTTTTCAAATGACTGCCAATTAAAAGAGTATTTTCTTAATCATGTGAGAAAGACATGACATTATATAAGATAATGCTACCAACTGCAGGCTAATGAAAGTCATAATACCTCCTGTGTTTTATGTTCAGCTTTCTTTGCAGCTTTCTCTGCCTTCTTTGCTGCCCTCTTTGCGGCTTTCTTGGAGTCTCCATCTTCTGCCTCACTGCAAAATGTGAAAATAAATCAGCAAAACAAATAACCATTGAAGAAATGAATGGAAAGTAGTTACATACCTCAGTAGGCGGAACTATGGTCATGAGTACCCAAATATAGGAACGTTCCCATTTTTGGGAACGGAGTTCCCAAATATGGGAACGGGCGTTCCCATTTATGAGAACGGAAGGCAATTTTTCGGCCGTTCTCCCACTAAAACTCAAAAGTGCATCACGTCTCAAAAAAGTGCACGCTGATTTAAGTATCTACTAGATCTCCATAAAGTTATCTTTAATCTGACCGTGGAACAAGGAAATTGACCGTGGAATGATATTTTTAATGATTTTTTGAAAATGACAGAATGGTGGAACTATGGGTTAAACGACATTTAACATGCAATTTTAAGGAAAATGAAGCATTTTTTAGTTTGAGGTAAAGTATAATAATTTTCGCCTGGTTATGAACTTTCATACTATCGACACCAGATGCTGACAAATGCAAGCGAAGACGCGGACGGTCCCGAGGTAATATTGTTGACTTTTGTGTCGGGGCGGACGACCGCGTGGAACGTGAGTGAATTTACCGAGCTACTGTTGTAAACTCAGTTTAAGCGGTTGAAAATTATCCAGCTGTATTTTATCATCCCGGAAAGACATATTTTATTTGGATGCTAGCTGTTTAGAGTTGTTTTATAAGGAGCGTCATGAGCGTGGTTTTTGTCTTCCGTGTTTCTAAGCGTGATCGTTTTGGGGGAATTTCTCTTATATAGCTCGCTCTGTGTGGCTTATTTATAATTTTTATGCTGATTTCGATAATTCCTCGTGCCCATCCTACCAGGCCTTTTGCCACTTACACTCATCAAGAAAGGAAAAAACTAGATTTTCATTGGGACTAGGTTTTTTGAGGGTGTAACATATTCAGCGTTCCCATTTTTGGATACTTCCTTGTACTCGTCAACTATCGGTGATAAACAGACAGGTGCTTGACATGTCTCCACCCTCAGCGCGGACGGTGGATATAGGTATGGAAGACCTTGTTGAACATCGCTGAGCGTTGTGACTTGTGAATTACGTAATCCTGCAGAGGGGGGCGTGCCCGCTGCGAGATCGACGGGAATAAAAGCGCAGAAGACCGGAGGGGTGTTCACGGGCACCGCACACTGCTGCGTGCGCTGTGTGCGGTGCGTCCAGCAGGCGTGGGGGTAGGGGATGGGTAGGCAGTTCTGACGTCACGGCTGCGTGCGGTGGACGGTCCGCTGTGGCCAGTCCCGACCGGCCACAGCGATCGCTGTGTGCGGTGACGGAAGGCTGACGTAGGGACAAAGTGGGCGGAGCTTCGAGGCTGTGTGCGGTCCGACCGCACACAGGGCCCGTGAACAGCCCTCGGGCGAAACATGCGACGGTCTTGCCGGAAAGGTCATCTGATGATTGTTGCGTTAACAATAATTTGCGGCGTTGGACGTGATGCTGGACGTGGAAAGAGCCCCTGAAAGGCGTCGGTGAAATCGTTCCCAATTTTGGGTACGCCGTTCCCATAATAAGGAACGCTTGCAGCGCCAGTGTACGAGAGCGTTCCCAAATTTGGGCTCGCGGCCCGGATGATGGACTGCTTTAGAAATAGGGGAACGATTTGAAACTACGATGGGCCTTACAATATCAAACTCTTTCCCAACAATATTGAGACAAATATCAGGCGGTTCACGATCGTTTTATATTTTTTGGACGTCATTTAACGGTTCTTTTTCTTGTTTTAAATAATGCCTACATGGCGTTCCCATATTTGGGTTTATCGTTCCCAAACATGGGAACGAAAATGCGTTCCCGAAAATGGGTACGCTTGACCATAGTTCCGCCTACTGACCTACTAACATGGCACCAATACAAAATTTAGGCAAGTAGGTACCTCCACTCTGCAGTGCAAAGGCAAAAATGCTTCAGCTTACATTAGGTCAGAGGATGTTATGTCAGGCCAGAGGTCATCAGAATGTAATTGTTTTGACTTTGCATGACAGCATATCCTACAAAAAAACAATCACATTATCTGAAAAAAAAGCAAAAAGCATTCACACTGTCCGAGAGAAACTGAAAAGTTTTGTATCAAGTAAAAAAGACTAACCAGTGAAAATGAGGTTTGGTCAATAAGGCTGCCACACATGGATGGCTTCGACAAATAGCTGGTAGGTACCTATCTATTATACGTGATTCAGGCCGACACCCTTTCCTCACCTTTTTGCAGGTGTAGATTGGGGATCTTTAACACCCATTGCAGCCGTTCAATAGTAAATTGCTTGAAAATAGTTGCAGTGAAATTATGATAATGTCAGGCGTGATGTACAAAAACAACAGAAAATGAATTAACACCCCACACCTCCAACAACCACGATTCAAGCAAACACCTCCCCACCCGCAGTGAAACATTTCCGCACACATGTGCATGATGAAATGTAATGTTGGAAGAAGCTATCCCAATTCCAGCTTTTAACGTCTTCAAAATGATGCAAAAATCCCATTTAAAGTAAAACGGCTTTTAATTTTCTTTTTTTCCTGTTTCATGTAATATAATTGTTGTTTTCTTCTTTTAATATCTCAATATGAAAGGCAATAAAGTAAATATTTGTCTTTTTTTGTATTTTACGTCACCAAAAATACATTTTTTCTGCCTCAGAGGGCTCCTCGTTTGTCTCACGTGCGCAGTCAACCATAGAAAATTACATATTTCTACAAAGTAGAAACTTTCTTTGACGTCATTAGTTTATTTCGTTATTTTCACAATAGCGCTTTGTGAGAAAATCTTTATTTAATAACTTAAAAAATAACTTGTGGCGCATGAAAACTGAAACAAGAATTTCAGTGAAGAATACCAGAATAGTTCGAATTTTCAATGTTGAACTAAGAATCAAACAACGCTATAGACAATCCTGAGTCGTCATCAATTCAAATAATCTGTGTTCTTGTCTAGCATTTCTACAATTTAGATCACGTTGACCGGAATGCTCGATTGTGCAATTTGTTTGTGGCTGAATTGTTATGAGAGAATCGCAGTTCGCACCTTACCTCCGTTGCCTCCGTGACCTCGTCTCGGAAATGTCAATCGTCATTATCCGTGGTGTTCGTCAAAGGCCTCTGAAATTCTGCTGTTGATATCTTTGGTTTTTGTAAAAGCAAGAAAGGATCGTTAAAAGTCAGGGATCACTTTTGAAGAAGGTAGGCCCCGCTAGGCGCTAAATGTCGGGCAACTAAAAGGGTTGGATGTTCATATTGCAGGGTTGTTCATAGTCATCTGTGTAAGCCAGGTAGGGGAAAATTGGGTATTATCGGACGGGTAACTTCAAGCCATCGTAACATGAAGGTTATCATTTTTATGCAACTGGGAGTCATTTAAATATATGTAGAAAGCCCAAAACTTTGTTTTTAGAAAGTGCTGACGCTGAGGTTCCGGTGTTGCGTTGGAGCGGTGCGATTTTTAAAGTAAAAAAAAAGCTACTTGGGACCGTGGTGACAAAGGAAATCCAGCGCTATCTTTTTTGCAAATAAAATATTTGCGTATGCACCTGGGGGAGAGTTCAGAAGATAACTCCTGTCCGATATTACCCAACTTTCCCCTACCCATTATCATTCTTAGGTAGTCATAAAGCAGGCATCTCACTTGTTTTTTTGCAGCCATGACCAAGGAGAGGCAATATACCCAGAGATGTAGGTTGTAGGTTCATGTACTTTGTAGGTGGTAGGTTAAAAGGTTGTAGGTTATAGAGTGTAGGCTAGGTTAGATCAGGTCAGATATTGCTAGATTAGATTAGGACTACATTAGGTTAGGTTAGTTTTGGTTTGGTTTGGTTTTGTTTGGTTAGAAACTAGAAAGAAACATCTCTGGCCTCTGGGTATTGCACCTCTCCTTGGCTGCAACAACAAGTGTGACACCTGCTTTATGACTACCCATTCTTCTTATGCTCTTACACACTTACACTGAGGGCACTCAGGGGCTCCTAAGCAAGCACAGTTACAAAAAATATTTTCCAATAAAGATTGATTTCATTTGATCTTTTGCATCAGAAGATAAAGTATTAAGGGAAGCCCATTGTTCTACACACCATTTTCTGTTTGTTTATTCATCTGTTATTGGATCAGCTTGTGGCTTATTAAAGGAAACATTCCAGTTTCCCATAACAAGTTTTTTTTTGCTACAAAAATCTGAAGTTTCATGCTTCTTGTAAGGTATGCTTATCATGCTTTTGTATATGCTAGCACAATGCCTACTCTTTTTTCAGACATGGCTTCACCATCTGTGTTGGTGGACTCCAGCCCCCAAGTTCTCACTGGCACTGTTCAAGATGTCAACATCCCTCATCAAAGGCCAGCAGCAACCGGAGATGATGAACGCACAGCCAGTCAGCCGGCGGCCTCACCTTACCGTTCTCCGGAGCAGCCAGCTGCAACACCAAACCAGGAGGCCTGTGTGCCACAGCGAGAAGCTCCTAGCACATCGCCACCGGCCTCTCCTGGCTCAGGGATCCCCGCCGCCCAATCAGATTCTGCCCAGAAGCCACTGCACCGTCCCTTGAAGCGGGGCCGCGGCCGTCGGGGCCGCTCTCGTGCCAGCCGCACCGGCCGCGGGGCGGTGGACCGCGACACACTGCTAGCTGAGGGACATCCGCTGGCGCCCCCCAACGACACCGACTTCCTGATGGACGACCACGACGACCAGGCTGATTCGGACCTGCTGTTCGACCGGTACGGCCAGCCGACGCCGCGAGAGTCTCCGGCCGGGCCGCACGTGGGCTGGGCGGCGGCGCCGGCCGGCCTGTCCGGCTGGCCGCTGCTCGAGCCCAGCATGGCGCGCCTGATTGCCGAGCACATCCAGATGGAGAGCCACATTGAGGCGCTGGAGGCGCGCATTGCGCAGGTGCGCCAGCGGCGCGACTCGGGCTCCGACGGCTCCGACGAGGAGATGCAACAGGGCGAGGTGCACATGGCACCCGAGACGGCCACCAAGATCCGGGTGCTGGAGGCCGAAATCCGCCGCCTGGAGGAGGAGAACGCCGCGCTGCGCCAGTTCAACGAGCGCATCATCGACGAGCGGGGCCTGGACGCCGGCGCCGGCTCGGTGGAGTCGTACACCAGTGACAGCGAGAGCGACTCGAGCAGCTCGAGCTCGGCCAGCAGCGCGTCCAGCTCATCGGACTCGTCCTCGAGCGGCTCCGAGTCGCCGCCGCCGTCGACGCCGGCCAGCCCGCGGATGCCTGCCAGTGTGTGATGGCCGCGGCGCCGGCCGGACGACGGGAGAGCACTGGCCCGAACCGGTCGGTGAACTATGTGCGCGGTACGTGTGAGTCTGCGTCCGTGGCTCTGGTCTTCTTGTGATGTGGAGGCTTTTGGAGCATGACTGTTGGTGTCGAAGTTGATTTTGAAGCGGTCTTGAGTCGAATGTTCTCATATGTCATCTACTGATTGTTGATGAAGTGCGGAAGTGGTGAGAGCGCGAATGTGATCAGCCTTTTATCGAAAAGAAGAGGCTGATTCTTGTTTGGATGGCCCATTTCATTCCAGTATCGGTCTTGACTTATTTGTAGTGTGTCTGCATCATATGGTTCCAACATCATGCATTCATGGACCGTGAAACCCGTGAGTGTATTTCAACCGATTGCGATTTGCCAATCATTCAGTTCTACTGAGTTCTGGAAATTTAACACCATTTCGATAAAAAATGTACGAATGCATAGTACAAAGTCCCTGTAACGTGGTTGCGTGAATGGGTCGATATCGGGCATTTTCATCGCCAATGCCTGCTTTGTTAACAAACTCACGCTGTACACATGTTGGCAAATGAAATGGGTCTCAGCATTGCATCTCGGATGTTAATAAAGGGTAACCGATCGTTGAAAAGTTGCTGCACTGCTAATGGACATGAGGCATGAAATGTGCGGGGTCGTTTTCTCGTGATAAGCTCAATGTGAACCGGTAAGTGATGTGTTATGACGATCGCGAATCCACCTAGCAGCTACCGTCTGATTTTTTTTTTCAGAAAGGTTCACGATCTACCGTTTAGGTTTTAGTGTCACGGTGTTGGGCGGGTCGCGCCCTGCGACCTGCCCTGTCAGCCGTTAGTTGTCACCATTGGGCGAACTGTACACTCTACAGGGCGGAAACACAGCCCTTTCACTAGGGCCAGCCTGCGCTTGAGTAGAGAAGATGCCTATTGCCTACTCATTGCCTACTTATCTGGAGATAATCCGCAAGGCGGGGCCGTCACTTGTCAGAGCCCAGATCAGCAGGCGGACAGTGCATCAGATTCCGTCCGGTATCACCTTCCCAATTTTCTAATACGATCACAGTTGCTCCTAATAGCTGATTCTTTTAAATATGTACCCATCGAAGCAGGTACAAATTGAGTGTGATTGAAAAACAGACTGAGGCAAGGCCCTAAAAACAGACAAGGCAAGTGTTGTAACTTCAGGTGATCACCGTCTTATTTTAGTAGTCTATTTCTTTTGCGGCATGCGGACTTTTGTCAGCATATCTGGCGACTTTCTTTCACTTCGGAGCAGGAGCAACTGTTCAATAGCTGAAAAAACTCAGTTTTGAAACCGTTTCGGGACGGTATAGACCAACGATGTTCATCCAACTTCATTATGAGCGCAGACATATTTTTAGCTAAACACAATCAGCGTAACAAAATAGTTTTGGATTGGTTTTGGGTGCACAGAGCGCTGCAAAAAAAAAAAAAAATTATAGATGTGAAAGAAGTTAGGTGCAATTGAGTACTATTATGTGTTTAAGCCCATTTTAGTCATAGATACTAACTGAGCTGATTTCCAAACATTTGTATATTGCTTACATAGCCTGAATCTAGATTCCATAGCAATAATGACAGAATTTAGTGCTGCTACGAGATACCTATAGTCCTAACTCCTACATATCAAGCTTCTGGTCATCCTTCGGCAATCCAAATCCTCTTCTTTGTTCATTTATTTGCATTCAAATAGAAAAGCTATGCATGCATAGGTTGCTTGCGTTTTTCAGCAGAACACTTCTGCCGGAAACTTGAAATAAAACAGATTGTAATGTATTACCAAGTGGCTGCCGGCTGATGTCTAGTGCCTTCTAATGTTTCCCTGGTGCTCTCTCTGAATTAAAGTGAAATCTGGATTAGTTGGCCCTCAGATTTTGCTTCTATCTGCTTTTTGGTGTGATAGATATACTCTGTTAAGTGTTAAATATTATTGAGTTTTAATAAATTATACAGTCTCATTTTCCTCTTATCGCAAAAGCTACCTATGTTCATTGTCAGCATCAGCAATGAGATGTAGGCTGGATTTATTTGCTTTTCAGTCTGGTATGATTATTTTCCTTGTTTTCTGGCCAGTTTGTTCTCAATGAGCTGTTAGGGGGTGAGACCTGATGATTTAGGGCTTAATAATTTTAATAGTTAGGTACCCATTTCCAAAATTTGTTTCTGTTTAACTAGGAAGATAGGTAGTTAGGTATCTATCAAATTCTTATCTGTCTGCCTGCTAACCTTCTTGACTTTCATAGCCCTCTTTATCCAAAAACACAACCAGACTTGGTGTGTCATCAGCAGAAAATTACTGTGTTTATTATGCATTCATATCTTCATTCTTGCCCAAAATGACTCACTATCTTGTTATTTTGAGATGCTCATTAGGAATGTGTGTTACATGTTAGAGTCCTGCTTTCGTGTGTTCATCTGACTTTGTTTTCTTTTTAAGGTTACTGATTTGCAAAAATGACTAGCAAGAAAATGGCAAAGGGAAAGATGGCTCCAAATATGAAGAAGAAAAAGCAGGGAAAAGAAAAGAAAAAGAGTACATTCATCTCAAAGGAAAAGGGCTCAATTTTAAAACACTCAACCAAGAAGAAGTCTATGTCAGATGTTAAAGCAGCCTCAAGTGATATCCTGACAGAGAAGATGTCTCTGTTTAAGGGTCAGTCTGAGTCTGTCATCAAGAAAAAAGCAAAGAACCTGAAAGAGTTCACCCAGCCTGAAGGATATTTAAAGGCATGTCTGACTTCAGCCAGCTATGCTGAAACTTGAAATGATGAGTGTTGGATTCTTTCCTTTATTCTTTGTTTGATTTTTGAGTCATATCTGAATCAATTAAAAGATGTGTCCTTAAGCTGGTTGTAGCTTGTCAATGTGGTATTGCACCTTTTTTTAAACTATTTTGTAATTTGTTGGGCATTGGGATCCATGTTAATAGCAATGCAATCAGTACATACCCACTGTGTTGTGTTTTGCTGAATTGATAAGCAATTAACAGTTGTAACAATGCTTCAGGATTCCCCAAGAAAGCAAATCAAGAAGAAAAATGAACTATCTTCACCCAAAACAGCTACCAAAGGGAAAGAAAAGAAAATGAAGAGGAAACTAGAGAATAAATATGTTAAAAGCATGAAGGCCACAAAATCTCCAAAAAAGGAGATGGATGCATCAGAAGACATGGCTGTTACAAATGGCAAAAGGAAGAAGAAGCGTCGTGAGCTGGCGCGCGGCGATGGTCCGGCGGCGGGTGAGCTCTCGTGGGCGGCGGCCGCGGGGACTGGTGGTGCCGCCGGCCAGCCGGCGCGTCTGACAGTGACTGGCGGCTTCTCCTGGGAGACGACCCCCTGGCCGCAGTCGGGACCGGCGGCGCCCGCCGCCGACAGCAGCGACGACGACGACGAGACGGAACAACAGGTAGGAATGTGCCTGGCACTCGATGAGGCTTGTCGGCACTGCAGGAGCAAAGCATGGTGGCGCGCGAGTACTCTCCGAGAAGCCGATTCCGTTTCGAACGGGATTAAATTTTGACAAATTTATTGGTGCATTTTGATTAATTGTATCTTTATCGTATCCACGACTCCGTAATGTGTGGCGTGTTCTGTAATGTTACCAGCTAAGTAATGATGTAATCAATGATACCAATCAATATCATATCGCCCGTCGATAAGCGACCCGACGTGGTCGGCTCCGATGCGGGCCATTGAACACTGACATGGCATGACGTCTGTGGCCTGACTAAACCCCTGACCCCGGCAGCCGGTGGTGCAGCTGTGATCTGACCTGACCCCAGCAGTCATCAGTATGTCCTTCACCTGACCTGGCCCCTGTCCCGGCAGCACGGCTCTGTGACCTGACCTGACCCTTGTGCCGGCAGCACGGCTCTGTGACCTGACCTGACCCCTGTCCCGGCAGCACGGCTCTTTGACCTGACCTGACCCCTGTCTCTCCCGACAGCCGGCGGCGCGGCTGTCGCGCCAGCAGCTGCGGGAGCGGGCCGCCGCCGAGGAGCGGGACCTGGTGGAGCGCGAGCGGCGGCTGATGGACCCGAGCCGCGCGCCCGAGACGGCCGACGACCACGAGCGGCTGGTGGTGGCGCACCCTGACGACTCCAGTCTCTGGATCCGGTTCATGTCCTACTTCCTGCAGGTATGGCTCCTCGGTCAATGGGTCACTTATTCTTGCAGGTACCATGCTTTGTCTGTAGGTCCGGTTCTTTCCTACTTCCTGCAGGTACGACTGCTTTGTAGATACGGCTGATTCCCTGCTTTCCGCAGGCATGGCTCCCTTGTGCGTGGATTTGGTTCATTCGCTGTTTCCTGCAGGTATGGCTCCTAGTCCTTTGTGTGTGGGCCCGGTTCATTCCCTGTCTCCTGCAGACATATCTGGCTCTGGATCAGGTTCAGCTTGAAGAGATAAAACATAAGCGTAGACGCGTAGATTAAAGGGACCCTCCCACCTTAACATTAGATTTGAGTTGAGATAGCCAAAATGGGGTCCCTGGCTCACAATTACCGGTTTCGGCACTCACAACATCGAAAAATGCCTTAAGTCGGAAATATTGAATTTCAAAATTACGACATTTTTATTCAGAGGGGCTAATGCATAGGAATACCCCTCTGAATGTGTGACGTCAGCGTAGATATCTAACGATTTTTAAATGTTTGACTAAAACGTTTTGTAGCACGCGGTGGTATTGGCTGCTTTGGTGCGCAACAAGTGCCGCACTTTCAGCTGCCAAACTATTGCTTCCAAATAAAGTCGCTAGGAACAGCGGAGATCCCAAAAAGTAAACAAAAGTAAAAGTCTAATATTTTGAAAACCGGTGAATATTTTTCGGTGAAATTTGGTTGATATTCGTTTTCGCTCTTTCTGAACCGAGCGACATCGCTTTCATGCCAATTCATAAACTTTTTTGAAGGTGGGAGCCGGGAGGGTCCCTTTAATATAGTATACCTGGCTCAAAGGATCTCAAGGATAGCCTTACCAGATGGGGCATTTAGTTTTGTGGTACTTAAATTTTATTTACAACCGGATCGATGGAGGCAACTTTAATTCAATATTTTCCGTATCTTGTGCGACACGAATTTAAAAAAAAGTAGGCTTAACTTGCTAGCGATGCTTTCACATCCCCATCGAAAAATAACTGGGCGATAAATTAACTACCCATTGGTTCCACAGCCATCGGCGCATTTATTCGCCGCTGCACCGCTCACCACTGTGCGTATCCCCACCGGCAGGCGACGGAGATCGAGAAGGCCCGAGGGGTGGCTCGGCGCGCCCTGAAAACCATCAACTTCCGAGAGGAGGATGAGAAACTGAACGTGTATGTGGCCTGGCTGAACCTCGAGAGTATGCACGGAACACAGGTGAGAGCGAACTCGGAACAACTCTCACCCTTTTGGAAGTAAGTAGGTGAGAGGGCAATACACAGAGGGTATTGCTAATAATTTTGAGACACGTCTACTACGCAGTCGTGCACGTTTTGGCAATGTCTGTTACCCATTTTACTTACATGCCTGTGCCGTTCATTTAGACTTGTGATAAAATTTGTTTTAAAAGGCGTTGTTTTGATGTTAGGTTTTATCCTGTCGTACACCTGTGCAGCATGGGATGCTCGTGTTTCAACGCAGCAGCGTCTGGGGTGCTCACTGACCGCATCCGGCTGGCTGTCCGCAGGAGACCCTCAGTAACGTTCTTCACGAGGCGCTACAGTACAACGACACGTTCAAGGTGTACACGCGGATGGCCGAGATCCACCAGGCCAACAACAAACACGACGTGAGTCGGGGGCTACCGCATCGCGATAGCATCTGTTTGGCATCTGGGGCAGACTGTATAGTTCATGGCTGTACCTGGGAGACAGCACAGTAAATCCAGTCCTTGTTCGTTTTAGCATTTAGCTGAGAGTGCGCAGGTGGGCGGTCTGGTTCAGTTGAGTGCGGTAGCTATAATTCGTCCGCTAACTGTTGAGCATGGTTCACGCTGAACCAAGTTAAACGTTAATGAGAGTGGTGTGGCCTGAATGTGACTATTACAGACATGCGAATAATATGACCACTGCACGGTGATGACGGTCCTGCCCTTTGAGGACTGAGGAGACCAGTGACGTTTTGCCGGTCAGCCCACGGACCTGGCGCTTTGAAGTGTTCATTCAAAACGGCTTGCGCGGTGACGTTTTTCAGGACCATTGCCTGATGTAACGCTGTGGTTTTCACGCTTTGACGGCTCTAGAGTGTATTACGGTTCCCGACTCGCTGACTGTTCAGTGCTGCTACTCTGTAGCGAAGCGTTTCCTAAGAACTCGTTTGACTAAATGGCATCTTTGCAGCGACCGTGACGCTTCCAGCTGAGCTCCTTACAGCCAGCTGGTGGAGACGCTGACATGTGACTGACTGACCCCGCCGCCCCCAGGAGGCGGAGCTGATGTACAGTCAGCTGGTGAAGAAGCTGACCCTCTGTGACTGACCCTGCCGCCCCCAGGAGGCGGAGCTGATGTACAGTCAGCTGGTGAAGACACTGACCTGTGACTGACCCTGCCGCCCCCAGGAGGCGGAGCTGATGTACAGTCAGCTGGTGAAGAAGCTGACCCTCTGTGACTGACCCTGCCGCCCCCAGGAGGCGGAGCTGATGTACAGTCAGCTGGTGAAGAAGCTGACCCTCTGTGACTCACCCTGCCGCCCCCAGGAGGCGGAGCTGATGTACAGTCAGCTGGTGAAGAAGCTGACCTCCTGTGACTGACCCTGCCGTCCCCAGGAGGCGGAGCTGATGTACAGTCAGCTGGTGAAGAAGCTGACCCTCTGTGACTCACCCTGCCGTCCCCAGGAGGCGGAGCTGATGTACAGTCAGCTGGTGAAGAAGCTGACCTCCTGTGACTGACCCTGCCGTCCCCAGGAGGCGGAGCTGATGTACAGCCCTCTGCAAACTGCGTGGTAGGCATTCTTTTTTCGACAAAAATGAGAATAACGCGAATACTATGCTATCGGTCATTCGGAAACCGTAACAGCAAGACGCGCTAGACCCCACCCCTTAGATTGGCATCATCACCGTATTCATTTTTCATCTAGTTCGGCAACTAAACCCAAAAGTTTATATTTGCCCCCAAAACAAACTTTGGCATTTTGTTGCCACACAAGGCGTATATTTTGTTTATTGATAGACCTAATCGAAGGAGTGGAGCATGGCGCATCTATTTGCAGTGAGTTCCGACCGACTGATAACATAGCCTTTGAGTTATTATCGGTTTTGTCGAAAAAAGAATACCTACCACGCAGTCTGCAGAGGGCTGTACAGTCAGCTGGTGAAGAAGCTGACCCTCTGTGACTGACCCCGCCGCCCCCAGGAGGCGGAGCTGATGTACAGTCAGCTGGTGAAGAAGCTGCCGGCCAGGAAGGAGGCCTGGCTGCGCTACGGCGTGTTCCTGATGCAGGTCGAGCGACGAGAGGCGGCGCGCGCGCTCATGCAGAGGGCGCTCAAGTGCCTGGAGCGTCGTGATCGTACGTACTGACCCCGGCGACGGCTGGCTCCGCCTGGGTGTGGGTGCTAAGACCGTCGAAACCTGTCCAAACTTCGAGTACCTATATAAATTCTAAGCGGGGCTGGTTGTAATGTTTTGACCAGGCATTATGTAGTGCTTCAGGTCGGCGTGGGTTACAATTCACTAATTGGAGGCAACATTTGGGGATTTGCGATTTTTGTTACCGGTTAAAGTGCTTTGTTGGCGATTAATTTAACACGCACCGTCCTGAGGTCCAAAATGATCAATGACGCTGACGCATGATGCATTACGTGCCCTGATACCAGCAGTCAGATTAATGTGTAAATTATTTCTGGATGTCTCGGACGAAAATATTCACTAATTTATCGCTCGCTGTCCAAAGTCCGCTAGGTCATCAGTTTAGCTTAGCGTGTTGTTCCTGGGCTAATGGTCCTTTGGCAGCTATTTCCATGGCTATGAATCATGCTCCGTGTCTTAGTATTGGGTTGTTTAGTCGTTACACGAAATTGAGGCGGGCCCCGAGGCTGCACTCAGCCCACGGAAAACATGTTATGTTCAGCCCAAGTTTCGCCGTCTTCCTCCTTGCTGGAGTGTTTGTTTCTTTAATGTGATGATGCGACCGAGGTAGTTGTGAGGCCAGTTTTTCCCGTGGGTTGGTACTGGGTCTGGATCCGTGGACTTGTCAATAGGGGCCAGCGTTTGCTGTTGCTCCTGGGGCTTTTCGTCAGTACTTCGTAAAAAAATACATTTGGGTGCGGTGATTTTTATCGTCCCCCCCCCCGTGCCCACAGACGTGGAGGTGATCAGCAAGTTCGCCCAGCTGGAGTTCCGCTTCGGCGAGCCGGAGCGCGGTAAGACCATGTTCGACCACCTGCTGGCCACCTACCCCAGGCGGCTGGACCAGTGGAACGTCTACATTAACCAGCTCATCAAGGTCGCCGACTACGACGCCGCTAGGTGAGCTCATCGGGGCTGTAGTAGTGATGTCATTTTCCAAAAAATGTCTGACCGATATCGACCGAAACCAAAATTTTGGGAAAATTTCCGACCGAATACCGACCGATAACATCCCAAGCCAAAATTTGACCGAAATTTGACCGAAATTCTATTTGCTATTACTCTACCCCAAAATTAAAATATTTGGTATTGGTAACTTCTGATGGAAAATAATGGGAAATGGCATTTCAGTTCAAGTTTAGTCAATTCTTAGCCACTGCAAAATACATTTTGTGGTAGAAATTACATTGCTAAGGGTAGGAACACATGGACCTCAGCATTTCGCAGATTTCAATTTGGTTAATTAGAAATTAGAATTGTCAAGAATCTACTGTGGTATATGTAAGGAAGAATACTCATGCATGTTGCAAAAGCACGATCAATTAGTGAGTCTAATGGTTGGTAATAGGTATGTTCATGACAAAATTCCCTAAGAGAAAAGGCAGAATCAAAACACCACAAAACACATCAACACTGCTTGGAAACTGACCTTGAGTCTTGAGATGTGGTCTGAGATACTCTACAAAGAATTTGACACTGTAAATCCAGCTGAAAAGGCAGGTATTAGATAGCTCTGAGCCTGAATTTCTTCCCAAAAATGAAATGAAATTTCATTAAACTGGCACTTTGTCTTATCTTTACAAGAAAACACAATATGCAGACAAAATTAGTACAAAGTTGCGCAAAATAAAAGAAGAACCAAGGATTGACTTTTAATATCCTCTCTTCCCTAACGAAAGGATGTAAGATGATGACGTAATATTTAATTTATTTATATATGCCCTTTTGGGTGAATTATTGAAGGGAAATTAATTTTCTTGTAGTGAATTACACTCACAATGTTGATTTCATTATAATTCAATATCGTGTTGGATCATTTACATCAATAAAATCATTCACGAGGCAGCATGTAACAATCCAAAACCTTTTTTGCAGCAACTTAATCAGCTGGTTTAAAGTCTCTGTTATGGCGCATCTGTTTCGAAATCCTTTGTTAGCTGTGTTTGGAGATGATGTGGAAGATTCCAGAAAGCGGACATGGGCGAATCTGTAATTTTTATCAAGATTCTTATGTTTTATGTTGTGGTCATCTAGATTTCAAACATTTGGTTGGTAGCTGCAATGTTTAAGGAGAATGTGGAATAGTAGAACATCTGTGAAATGTAAATGTGCTCACTGCTAAGTGCTAGGTAAGTGCTAACTGTCCAGCCTTCAGAAACACATTTCAGTAATTCAAGTTATTTTTGTCCTTGCATTTTTGATGACTGTATAATGACTTTTGTAGGCAATACTTCTTTGATTACAGGTGATATTTTAACAGTAAGACTGGAATTTAGTTTCAAAATTGTGTGTACTTGTGGGGCCAACTGAGTCAAAATCAGCCTGCTCGTAGTTGTGGTTGGACAATGGGTGGCTGCTGCCTGCTGGGTGGGATGGCTACTGAAGTTGCCAAAATGTGGCATCTCTTGTAGCCTTTGGGGGAAATTTTGCAACTCTTTATCATTAACATCCCAATAAATTTCATTCTAACTAGGCAAAAATGGAATACTTTCTCTTTTTGAAAATGGTTTCACTGGCAGGGTGACCGAAAGTGTCCGATTTTGGGGGGGGCCTGACCGACCGATTACCGAATCGGTCAGCATATCTTTTCGGTAACCGAAATTTTCGGTAACCGATTGACACCACTAGGCTGTAGAGACCCAAGGGACCAGACTGTTACCCAGCTTCACGCCGAGCTAGCCCAGCGCTGGCTCGACGGAATCGTTAGTGATCTCCAAAGCCTAGTATCTTGTGTTAAGGCCGACAAAGCGATGATAATTAGTCCGTATCCTCCTCGTGACTGTCCCTCCCACCCCCGCGCCACCGTCCACCTCTCACTCGCCTCTCACAGCCGTGTCTCGTTTCCAGACTGATCTTCCAGCGGGCGGCCACGGTACGACTGAACGCGCGCCGCACGCGCTCCCTACTGAAGCGGTTCCTCGAGTTCGAGGAGGCGCACGGCTCGGCCGAACAGCAGGAGGCCGTCAGAGAGCTGGCCAGACAGTACGTGGAGGCACGCTCGGACGCCGACGCCGCCCTTCTAGACGAGCCGGCACGGTGACGTCACTGGATCGACTCTGACGTCATTGGACTAAACCAGGGACGTGGTCGAACCGGGTCGGTGGCGTTTTCGGTTTGAGGAGGTGGCGTCATGTCGAACTGTTGACGTCAAACAGACTGAGGCCGTGTGACCCAGTCAAAGAAACCGAGCCTGTGACGTCATCGGTCTGAAGTGTCAGGTGATTGTGGCGGACCGCGTTTTGAGTTTATTGGCGGGCCGCGATGCGGACAGCCGATTGCGGAAGAGTGCAACGCGTTACGATCCACGTGTATTGTTGGTAGGTGTGATGTCTGGCGCAATGGACAATGGACATACCGGGATCGCGACCGGGTGTATTCGCCGCCCGTGCGGACCGTGCTATACATTCGTGTAATACACGACGAGATCGCACTTTGGCGTGCCGAGTTTGTGGGATGGAGTGGACGGATAACAGCACAATCAGTGAGATCACACGGTGCAACAGTCATGAAGATGAACAATGACGAAATGAACTGACTAGAAAATATAAAACTACATAGCATCGAAACATGAAGGCGCAACACAGGCGTGATCGGGTCCTGTTTCAACGCACGCTGCTAGCCGCTACTATCGCGTTTCACGAACTGACGTCATAGGCTTTCTGTATGATGATACGACTGGAGTCCAAACACGCCTTTCCAATAGCTCTTCGCAGTCCACAGCTTCAAATTTCTTGCGGCTAGAACAGAAAATTGACGATTCCGCAGTTGGTTGCAACGTGGCACAGAGGCGCCTGGTGAGGACGGCGGTGGCAGGTGTTTGATTAAGACAGCGACTACCAGAGGTATCTGGCGAGGACGTCGACTACCAGATGTGCCTGGTAAAGACGCCGTCTACCAGAGGTGCCTGGCCTGGTAAAGACGCCGTCTACCAGAGGTGCCTGGTAAAGACGCCGTCTACCAGAGGTGCCTGGTAAAGACGCCGTCTACCAGAGGTGCCTGGTGAAGACGGCGGTGGCGACCAGCAGCCCCAGCAGCAGCAGCGTCGCCTGCAGCCGGACGGAGAGCAGCTCCCCATCGGCGGCTTCTGTGAGCGGCAGCAGCAGCTGGGACCAGCACACGTCGCCGGCGCACACCGACGTGTCCCACTGGCTCCAGAACCTGCCGGCACGGTACACAGACACCAGGTCAGTGGCTGCCGGCCAAAGTCGCAGGACTAAATCTCCGAGATTGGGAATCAGTGATGCGATTCATCCATGAGCTGAGCCCAAACTCAAAGCCTTTTCGAAGTTCATCAGTCAGCAACTACCTACATTAAAGGTCAGGAGGTCAGTTTCGGTGTAAACTTAACATTTATTACAATGGGCCTCGAATGTCAATAGGCTGCTGAGTGCTGATTCATCTCAGCACCACTTCATAGTTTCCTGCTCCACTGCGTGAGAGTGTAGCACTGAAAGCAGCCGAGGGGGCGCTGATGCCATCCGTGTTAATGTCTTCAGCCTAGATTTCGACGTCAGTCTTTATTATCTGAGTGATCTGCTCTGCATGCATTATTCAGCGCACTTGCTACTAAGGCGACTGACTCACTCCCCCTGGGAGCTCCGCCAAGAAGCCTTTTAAACGAGCCCCACTGTAATGGACACGACCGGCAGAAATGTACGATGTGTGTTGTCAGAATCGATAGTCATTCCAATGAATTTCCAGATGACTGACACGGAAAGGCACTTTCCAAAGACGAGACGGCCCTCAACAATTACCACGTGCAGTGTGCTATGCTTTCGAGGAATACAGTTGGTGAGGTACTTCGTGAACGAGCTATACGAACAGAGTGGGTACCTACTTGCCATGTCAGCAGACTAGGGCCAAAGTCGGCGGTTCATACATCATCGCCAGAGGACAGCGTTGTCATGATCTAATGACTGTTATCACAGGCCATGGTTCACGGACCACGGCTCGTCGGCGTGACAGGATGTAATTACGATATCAGTTTGTGAGCTTGTACCGACACCGAGTTTACGGTAATGGAGCAACAAAGCACCTCCAAAGTGGCAGTACCGAGCCTCGTCATAACTCACAACCAAATTGACTGCAATGTTACGTCTAACGATAGTCGATACTGCTGGACTTGTCTACATTACAATCTTTTCATATGACGACTGGAGCTCGACCGATATGCTGGAAACATCATATTTCCATGTTGTGCCTCTTTCGCACAGTGACCGGCCACTGTGACTCTTCAGACCGGCCAGCCGAGCCCTCGCCCTGCAGCCCGCCCGGCCCTCTCAGGTCGGCCCTAGCCGAGCCCTCGCTCTGCAGCCCGCCCGGCCCTCTCAGGTCGGCCCTAGCCGAGCCCTCGCTCTGCAGCCCGCCCGGCCCTCTCAGGTCGGCCCTAGCCGAGCCCTCGCCCTGCAGCCCGCCCGGCCCTCTCAGTCCGGCCCTAGCCGAGCCCTCGCTCTGCAGCCCGCCCGGCCCTCTCAGTCCGGCCCTAGCCGAGCCCCCGCTCTGCAGCCCGCCCAGCCCTCTCAGGTCAGCCGGGCGGTCACGTGTCGGTCGCTGATGATGTCACGCGTGGCGGCGGCCGAGCTCGGCAGTTCTGGCGCATTACAGCGCGCCGTGACCGCCGCCGGCGCAGCACCCCTTCCCCCCCCCCACGGGTCGTCACTGAGTGATGGCATCCCCCCCCGGGTCGTCACTGAGTGATGGCATCCTCCCCCCCCCCCCCCCCGGGTCGTCACTGAGTGATGCCGTCCCACTCCCAACTCTCAGTTCCAACCCTAACCCGTCGGCGGCTCCTTTCCAGCGCCGTCCGTGCAGCGTCCCATCCCGTGTCATACCTGGGGCATTCCACGATAGATCGTACCAGGCCCGTCACCCTCGTCTCTCAGATTTTAATGAAAATCGGTCCTAGGCAGTGGCGTATCTAGGATTTCTCTCAGGGGGGATCCGCAGTCAAAAGGGCCCTTGACTGACTGGGTTGAAAGGGCCCTTAAGTGGCAAAAGGGCCCTTGAAGCCTGAGTTGAAAGGGCGTTAGCCCGCGCCCCGTAGGGGGGGGGGGGCGAAACGGCCCCCTGTCCTCTTCCGTAGCTATCTCCTAAATGACTGCAGATATCGCCACCAAACTTTCAGGACCTCTCCGGGCATCCATTTTACACATTGTGACCTTTTTCCAGAGGCTATGATAGGTTGGCCGCAAATACGTCAGAATGACGTCATGTTCTGCCATTTTCGACCCAAAAAATGTTTCACAGGAAGAGCTATCAGGCCTACAGAGCTGTAGAAACATGAAAATGTTCCGATATAAAAATGTACAATTAACAGGCTTAGGTCAAATCTGAGCACAGTTTACAGAAAGAGCGTTAAAAGAGCTTTGTTTGTTTTGTTGGGTTGGACCCAGGCCCTTTCGGCTTTCGGTCTGACGAGACCATTTCAGGGCCGGAGGGATGATAGGAATTGAGGGAGACATTGGTCTGGGCGGGCACCTTGGTGACTCACTGGGGCTGAGCCTGTCCAACAGGACAGGCCGACCAGCCTCCCAAGTGCTCACTGCACCCTGTTACGAGTGTGCTTCCTTTGGAGCTGCAGTGCGCTCCAATGGGAGCCGCCCGCATGGAATAAAGTTGCCCGTCCAGGTCCAGCCCGGATACCCTCAGAGGGACCCTCTGATGGCCTCTGAAGACCATCACTGGCCTCAAAGGGTCCTCTAGTGGCCTCCATGGACCTTCTGGGTACCTGAAAGGTCCCTCTGTTTTCTCTCCAGGGGCCCTTTTTACCTCAAAAGGTTCTCTTTTACTTCAAATGACCGTATGTTGGTCTAATACATGAGGCCCCTAGTGGCCTAAAATACTGCCCTCATATCATCTAAGGTGACCCCCTGTTTGCCTTAGAAAAGAGGTCCCTCCGGGTGCCTGAGAGGCCCTGTTTGTGTCCCAAAGGGTCCTTTGCTGGTCTCATAAGGCCCCTAGTTGACCTAAAAAGTCCTCTGATTGTCCAAGGGCCCTCTGGTCGCCTCAGAGGGCCAGCTTTTTCCTCAGAGTGCCTGATGACCTCATAGAGCCCATAGTGGCCTGACATAGCCTTCATATCACCTCAGAGGGCCCTCTGTTGTAAGGCTCAAGTGGCCTTCTCAGAGGGCTCCGACTGCCCTGTGACTGACAATTGTCCACTCTTATCCCTCCTTTGGGTGACCTTTTCTCCCTCTGACACCCAAGCCAAAATACGATTTTGGGACACTGACTCCGAAGGCCAGTTGATTTTCAGAGGGCCCTCTTTGAGGTGGATGTTAGGGCCCTCTGTTCGCCTCAGAGGGCCCTCTGGTGGACTTAGACTTCAGAGGACCCTATTTTGGCATCAGAGGGCGCCTCTCTGTGGCATCAGAGGGCCCTCGGAGGCCTCAAATGGCCCTATTACATCTCAGAGAGCTGTCTTTGACCTCAGAGGGATCTTTTTTACTTCTTTGTGGTGTCTGAGGGGGCCCTCTGGCCTTTGTTCGCCTCAATGAGCCTTAAGGGGTCCTCCGATGACTTCCAAGGACCTTCTTTGATCTCAGAGGGCCTGATGACCTCATAGGGCTCATGGTGGTCTGACATAGCCTCATATCACCTCAGAAGGCCCTCCAGTGGCCTCAGAGGGCACTTTGTGACCTTTGAAGGCCCTCCATTCGCCTTAGAGGGCCCTCTTTGATCTCTTTGATCTCTTCGATCTCAGAGGGCCCTTTGTTCACCTCAGAGGGCCCTTTGGTGACCTCCAGGGACCATCTTTGATCTAAGAGGGCCGTCTGGTGGCCTCATAGGGTACCTTGTGGCCTGACATTGACCCTCGTACCTCAGAGGGCCTTCTGTTCGTCTTAAGGGGCCCTCTGCTGGTCTTAGAGGGCCCTTTGTGTGCCTGGGAGGCCCCCTGAGTACCTGAGAGGGCCCTCTGTGTGTTTGAGAGGGCCCTCTGTGTGCCTGAAAGGGTCCTCTGTGTACCTGAGACGGCCCTCTGTTTGCCTGAAAGGGTCCTCTGTGTGCCTGAAAGGGCCCTCTGTGTACCTGAGAGGGCCCTCTGTTTGCCTGCGAGGGCCCTCTGTGTACCTGAGACGGCCCTCTGTTTGCCTGAAAGGACCCTCTGTGTGTCTCAGAGAACCCTCTGTGTGCCTGAGAGAGCCCTATGTGTGCCTGAGAGGGCCCTCTGTGAGCCTGAGAGGGCCCTCTGTGTGCCTGAGAGGCCCTATGTGTGCCTGAGAGGGCCCTCTGTGAGCCTGAGAGGGCCCTCTGTGAGCCTGAGAGGGCCCTCTGTGTGCCTGAAAGGGCCCCCTGTGTACCTGAGAGGGCCCTCTGTGTGCCTGAGAGGGCCCTCTGTGTGCCTGAGAGGGCCCTCTGTGAGCCTGAGAGGGCCCTCTGTGTGCCTGAAAGGGCCCTCTGTTTACCTGAGAGGGCCCTCTGTTTGCCTGAGAGGGCCCTCTGTGTGTCTAAGAGGACCCTCTGTGTACCTGAGAGCGCCCTCTATGTGCCTGAAAGGGCCCTCTGTGTACCTGAGAGGGCCATCTGTTTGCCTGAGAGGGCCCTCCGTGTGCCTGAGAAGGCCCTATGTGTGCCTGAGAGGGCCCTCTGTGTGCCTGAGAGGACCCTCTGTGTGCCTGAGAGGGCCCTCTGTGAGCCTGAGAGGGCCCTCTGTGTGACTGAGAGGGCCCTCTGTGTACCTGAGAGGGCCCTCTGTGTGCCTGAGAGGGCCCTATGTGTGCCTGAGAGGGCCCTCTGTGAGCCTGAGAGGGCCCTCTGTGTGCCTGAGAGGGCCCTCTGTGTGCCTGAGAGGGCCCTCTGTGTACCTGAGAGGGCCCTCTGTGTGCCTGAGAGGGCCCTCTGTGTGCCTGGAAGGGCCCTCTGTGAGTCTCAGAGGACCGTCTGTGTGAGAGGGCCCTTTGTGTGTCTCAGAGGGCCTTTGTGTGCCTGAGAGAGGCCTCTGGGTCTGAGAGGGCCCTCTGTGTGCCTGAAAGGGCCCTCTGTGTACCTGAGAGGGCCCTCTGTATACTTCACAAGGTCCCTCATTGGCCTAAATGTGTCCTCTATTAATCCTCAAAAGAGTTCTACAATACTTTTTCTTTTAGCGAATAAAATGGGAAGTGGTCAAAAGGGCCCTTGAAGTCATTTCAATTTTTTTCCGTGTTATAAAAAAAACTTTTTTCTAGGCTCCAGGGGGGATCCTAGGACCCCCAGGGTCCCCCTTGGATACGCCACTGGTCCTAGGGGTAATCATAGGCCCCAAAGACGCCTGGCAAAATATCAGACTTCTCAGATCAAAACTTTTTGAGTTATATTGCATTACATTTTTTTAACTTCGGTATGTAACGATGAGTTTGATGGCCTATAACTCAAGAACGGGTTAAGCAACCAACAAAAAGTAAACAACACTAAGCTTACGATGAATCAAAAATTAATATTACTATTTAAAAATTCCAAAGAAAAAATTTCATTGTTGAGCAAAAATCTTATTTTTTTTCATTTGCCTCTAATGACTTTTGGGACCAAAATTTTTCACATTTTTATTTTTTCAAAATAATCTTCATGTCATTGAAAATCGACATGCGAAAAATTAGAAAGGTGTTCTTTCTATAAGTTCCTCATTTTCCCGCAAACAAAATGGGTTTCGGAGGGGTTGATACGACCCCAGCACGCCGTTTCGCTTCTAATAGAGCTAGAGCCTCGCGGAAAAAACGAGCGTGTGTGCCGTTACAAGTCGCAGCGATTGGTACCCGATTTTCAGGTCTCAGGTTAACCGGTAGCGTCTGAGGTCAAGTCACGTGACTGAAGTTACGGGTTCGGTTTTTAGTAAATAACTTCGCAAAAAATGGCCGCAGAGCCGCGATTTTGGCATCATTGTGTTCGCCTAGCTCAGGTGCATCGAATGGTATACTTTTTGCTAGGGTGAGGTCAACTTAAGTAGTTGACCTCGGGTCAAGGTCAGGTCAGAGCCCCTCAGGTCACGAAGCTGGGCAAAGGGTAGCATATGGCATATCATTCGATTCGGAAGGTCTTCCCGAGTCCATTGGTGGCTTTCCCGACTCTCTAGCTCGATTTGATCGGGAGTTATTGACGAAAAACTCGTACGACCCTAGTGACGTCATAAATGACGTCACGCAAGGTAAACAATGCAAAAGTAAAGCATTGGGCTTTGCAAGGAGTGCATGAAATCACGATACCATGTACGTGGGATAGTTTTAGATCATTCTCGGCGCCAAAATAACAGTTTTTTATATTTCCCCATTGATTTATAACAGTGATGTCACGTGACCGACCTGACCTCATGTAACCTTGAAAAATTCCCAGATATACAAGTTGTGAGACCTCTGGAAGACACCATGTATGCGTCCTGTAACTTTCATCTCGGACAGCTATGGTCATTGGCGTCCAAAACAATGTCAGAACCAAACAGCCTTTTTCACCCTCGCGATTATAGGAAAGAGGGTTGAATGAACCCTCTTTCCACTTTTTTCAGATGACTCAGAGTTGAATTGAAATTTCAGTAACCCGTGATGTCACTAGGCAGCTTTACCACGCCATTTATAAGCTCCCATCCCGAAATCACTATTCGAAACCGTTATCGTGACGTAAAATAAATACATTTATCGAAAGAACACCTTCCTAATTTTTTGCATACTTCTTAACAATGAGCCAAATATTTTTTTAAAGAAATAAAAATTCGAAAAAATTTGGTCCCAAAGTCCAAAAAATACAAATGAAAGAAAACTCGCTATGTCATATATCAAAAATAGCGTATTTTTCGAAATTTCAAAAATACATATTAATCTCTGTTTCATTGCAAGTTCAATGTTATATAACATTTGGCATTTCAATAATCCGGCTCAGAGTTACAGCCCGCCAAACTTAGCGCTGCAAAGCAAGATCCAAAAAATGTTATACACCATAACTCAAAAAATACTAATCTGATAAGCCTGAAATTGTTACAGGTGGATTCAGAGCCCCTGATTACCCCTGAGACCAATTCTCGTCAAATTCCGAGAGATGAGGGTGTCAAATTGGAAAAAAGTGGTACGATCTATCGTGGAATGCCCCACCTGCCCCCGTTCTACAAGCGCCTCACGCAAGTTCCCTCCTCATAGGTATTAAATATCGGCCCAAGAGCAAATCATCACACTGTAATGCATCAATCCAATGACGCATTACAGTGCAGCACGGTGCTAATATTTTATACAACAGGGATGCAAACCTGTGCCAAAGTTTGGACTGATCCGGCCTCGGCTTCGGTTTCATGTAAAATCTTTCACCGGGTCCGGCTTCGTGTTCCTGGTTGAATCCATCCAAGCTTGACATGTTCCTCCTCGTGCGGGGGGACTGCTATCTTTTCGCTGCCCGCACGGTCATTAAATCCTGTTGAATATCGAAACAGAATACTGATGTTTTGGCATGTTCCACAATAGGGATGCGTTGGGTCACTCCACTTCTATTGTTATGTCCAGGGGCTGCTTTCCGACGCTCAACCCTTCTGGGCCATTTATGTCAAGCGCGCTACGCATTAATCTGCGGTACTACTTCCTGACGGTCTGTTGCCGAGCAGAATGAATGCCCGCGCTGTGATTCGTCGTCTGAATAAGAGATACTCCGTGAATAACTGAACACCGGACGGAAACAGGCCGCCGTCGGGGCAAACATTGACATTGTGACCCACGCAGGTTCCGACAGATGATACCAAGGAGAGCTCACTCGCATTAAACACACATCTCCGGTCTCCGGGCGGTGGTTGAAACTGAGAAACTGCCTCAGAGAAACACGGCGCTCTCCATGAAACAACGTTCGGTGCCCGGTGGAGAAGTCGGCCGTCCGAACTGGTTCCCGTTTTGTGTTTTTACTCGTTCGTCGTCTGTATAGCATTAATGGAGCCGCTGGACCCGAGCCCCGCTCGGGCTGGCCGGCCGCCGGTGATAGTAAGTGGAGATGCAGATGGATATGAAGATGAGTACGTCAGGGACCGGCGTCTGGTCATCTGGGTCCACTCACCGCCAGCGGCCATAACCGGAGCTGACCGTGCCAGCCGGCCCCCCGGCCAGACACAGCCATCTGGTCGCACTGGCCGACCAGCAGGTCACGGCACAACACTGCAGGCATATCGAATATCCATATTGCATGAGCACGCTCTAAGCGCTCTACAGGCTCACACGCGCCACCGGGGTAATACGACAGATTTGTCGCTGATCTGTATACGACTTGGGACTGCACTCAGCCCTCCTGATTTAGTAAGCGGCGTGCCAAAGTCAACCCTCAGTCAATTTCCGATGTTGGCGTATCGGTTCGCCATTTAAATCCTGCATCTTATGTGGAATTTACAGCAGAGGAAGTGCCCATCAAACACCAGCGGGCCTGATCCATGTTAGCTTTGTCTGTATGCAAAACCAATTTACAGACCTGGGAATGGTGTCTGATTTGGATTTGTTTTCAAACGGCATCGCGCCGCAAGCGAACTCAGGTTCCTTAGAGAGGTGGTTGGTTCAATCCAACCCACCGGCCTCAATCCGCGCCACGTCGCGCGCAGCTCCGGCCCCGGAAAAAATTCCTTCCCCGTATATATCATCACATCAAACGCCGCCTGTTGACAAGCGCATCTTTGAGAGGAGGCGCTTTGAAGTCGTGTAGCCCCCTCGACCGGCCAGTTCAGCGACAGCGCGCACAAACAAACTCGGCACCGGTAATCAGCGCGTCCGGCTGAAAGGCCTCGGACCTTTGCTGCAGCAGAGACTTTCAGCCACCAGGGAGAAATGCCACCGTGCTCCATCACCCTGGGGCCTGGACCGAATATAATTGAAAAGAATCATCTATATGCCGTGCTGACACTGTCAGTTGATCGACGGCGTGCGACGACGCACCACAAAACACACTCTCATCCTATATCTCACACTCTCAAATCTCAACCGAACCGAAGCAGGCAAACTAGAAGAAATCGCCCTGACCAATACCACAAGAGCAAGATTCTTGAGCCCGGTACAGAGCGCGGACCAATCTCGAGTGCGCCGTATGTAAGTATCCTCCGGCAGATGAGCCGCGGCCGACGACCGGCGCGGCGGTGAGACCGCAGGCGAACCACGGCTGAGGCGCGCTGGAGGCGGCCCGAGTCTGATCTCCAGCCGCTGGCGGCTGGCGGCGGCAGCGCACCATCACGGAAAGAGGCTGTCCTCAGGGCGTCCGCTCAGGGCTGAGTGCACTTCCTGTCGCGACATGAAGGATGAGACAGGGTCGGGAGACAAAAAACGGCACTGGCGCCGGTCGGAGACATGACTGGTGTCAGGACGGCGGACGGACGACAAAGGCGACATCGGACCGAAACAATGGTCACCTGACGACAGTGAGGTGTCCGTAAACAGGATACTAGCCGCTAAATGGCACATTGGCGAATCCAGGGCCGGGGGGGGGCATCTCGTTCAAGTGCCCATTCCACAGCGTCAAGTATAGATGAAAATTTGCCGTTTATCTCGCAAAGAAAACTCCTAAAACCCTTATTGGGATAAGTTTGCTTAAAATTGCACACGCACAACACCCCATGAGGTCCATTAGGACGCTGTCAGTTTGTTATAGCAATGTGGCATTCAAACTTTGCGTCTATCGTAGACTGTATTTCTTCACCCTTCAGACATCTCAACGCGGACACCGACCCGTCCTCTCTCTCTCCCGCCCTGCTCTCCACTGCCCGCCCGTCTCTCATTGTCCAGCCGGGCCGCCCGAGATACGGGCCGGCGTGTCCCTGCTGCCGCGCACATGTGTGGCACATGGACCTCCATTTATGACCACTTATGACCCGACGCCGACCCTACGCGACAAGGCTAGAATACAAACTATGTGAACAAACAGAGAGACGCATTCCCCCCTGTTCCTAAAGAACACATCTAACTACAATTTAACTAATGGGGGATGGGAGCGCCGAAGAGTTGCGGCGCACGCCTGCAGCGCAAACCCCTTCTTAGCACGTCACTATAACTATCGATATTATCTACACTTTCCGCTGGCGCTCTACCTTCGTTCACACGGTCGTTTGACAATCCCTCAGTTTCTGTTTTTACAACTTTCACTATATGGATCCGCTCCTCTGTTCCGGCACCGCCATCCGCCTCAGCTGCTGCTCGAGGGACCGGCTCGGTCTGCTCGGTCGGCGCGACAGCTGGGGTCAGCTCTGACGGCTCCACCGCCGCCGGCGCCTCAATGGCCAGCTGTCCAGGCACATGGGCGGTCGGAACCGGACAGGCGATCTCCTCTTCCTGCTCATCATCCGTCGAAGCAGCCATTGCGTCGTCACCGTTGTTGGCAAGACGATGACGAATGTTCCGCACGTGCCATGGGACTCCATCCACTTCAATCGTCTGAGCGGATACGACTTTGGTGACAGTGCCCTCCTTTGACACGGCGGTGCACCGATCGCCCCGTTTTCGGACCCACACCGCATCACCGGGCTGAAACACACCAGGCTGGCCGGCCGTCTGAGGAGGAGCAGCTGTGTTTCCCTGTGACTGCACGCACAAGTCTCTGCCAGCCTGACGGTAGGCACCATGTATCAGGGCCGTGGTAATATCACGCCCGTCCTTGAGCGTGACATTATATCGGTGCACGGCTTCTGGTACGGTGCATCCCTGACGGGCGGCCATCACTTTGATGGTGCGGTGGTGGCGCTCGATGATGCCATTCCCACCAGGTTCATAGGCCGCGCGATACCTCAGCTCGACGTCCCACCGCACCGCGAACGCCTTCAGCTCGCGACCCTTGAATTCGGTCGCATTATCCATTAGAAGCTCGGCCGGTGCTCCTCGCTCCAAAAACAGAGCCTCGAGTTGTCTGACGATCTCGCTCCCGTCAGAGCGGCGGATCTCACGCCACATGGCGTATCGCGACGGCCCACAGTCAATCACGGTGAGATAGTGTTTTCCGCGGAAATGGGTTACGTCCATTGCCAGCCGCTCCCAGTTGCGCTCGACCGCCAAGGCACCATGCTTCCAGCGCGACGGGGCTGGGTCGATCGACGCACACACCTGGCACGATCTAACGATCTGACGAACGGCCGACTTCGTCACGCTCTTTCCCAGCTCTCGGCGCGCATACCACCACGTCCGCCGCACTCCCTGGTGTCCCACACTTTCATGCACCGCCATTATGTCCTCAGGTCGAGCTGTCCTGACGGCCGCCACCACACCTGTCGCCTGCTCGCTTCCGGTTCTGATCCACTCTTTTGGTACTCTCGTGAGTTCGTCTGCACGGTTGGCAGCCGACGGCACGAGCTCCACTGTCACGACGAGGTCGTACTCGCTGGAGAGCTGCTTGAAAACGGCCACCCGCCGCCGAACCAGCATTTCCGACTGTGCCTTCGTTCTCAGTCGGGCACGGCCTGTCAGAGCGTCGGTCAGCCAGCGCTGAACAGTGACAGAGTCTGTGCGGAGGATCACACGCTTGAATCCCCACGCCACCGCCATATTCATACCGTTCAGCGCGGCATCCAGCTCCGATAGGTTTATGTGCATGTCTGAGTCACTGTCAGATCGGAGCCACGCGGCGTCTTCGATAACCTCACCCGTGGTGGGGTCACTTAGCACTACGCCGCGGGCGATGGAGCTGGCATCAGTCCACACCGTCACCGAGTCTCCTGAGACGCACCACTGTCCTCGTGCCGGGTCACACTCTGCCAGCCGCCGGGCCACATCACTGACTTGTTTGCGCAGGTCATCGTCGGTGATCGGTGAGTCCCAATCTTTGGTGACCTTGTTCGCCGCCCTTTTCAGCCAGGCGGCGGCCGGCCGCAGCCACCCGGCGACGGGCACGTGTGATGTTAGCTGACCCGCCCAGGCGAAGATTGACCGCCTGGTCAGCACCCCGGGTGGCTCAGCTGGTGTCACGCCGTCCCGAGACCATCTCAGTGTGCCGTCACCGCCAGACTGCCGTCTCACTCGGAGCCCCAGCATCCGGGCTCCGGCCTCATCCGCTACCCGTTCCGGTGGCTTACACGAGAGCCCGTATGCGGCAAAATGTTCGGCCACCCGCTCAGCAGAGATGAGCGTCTCGTTGACGAGCAGGTCGTCAGCGTACGGGAGCACTGCTTTTGCGATCTCTGGACTTTGATCCAAAACTTCCCGCACTACCGCTCGCATGATGCCGCTTGCAACGCTGAGACCAAATCCGACCCTTGTCAGACAATGTCGCTGGCCGTCCACGATTACCGTCTGAAACGGCCACAGCTCCTGGGCCACGTGCAGCTGCAGAAACGCCTTCTTCAGGTCGATGACAGCCACATCGTCGCCGTGTTGCCGCCACTTGCGGAGCTGGTCGCGGCACACATCAGCTTCAGCCGTATGAGCCACCAGGTGCTCATTCAGTTCACGGTAGTCGAGCACCGGCCTGACCTTGTCCTTGGCTTCCTGGGTGACCGCCATGAGCGGAATTAGGCCACGCACCGGCCCGTGTTCCTGCTCATTGTACGGTTGCAGCCACCCTTCCTGAATCCACAGCCGTAACTCTGCGTCGAACCGCTCCTGCGACTCTGCCGGCACGCGATATTGCGGCACAGTATTCTTGAGTTGTTTTGGCTCCTTTCCGTCGGCCCACTTCCACCAAACTGTCCACTTTCCGTCGCTGAACTTAGCCACAAAATCAGCCGTCTCGATTTGTCTGTCCACTGGACCACGCCCCTGAGACACCGCTCCCGACATACCGCTCGATTCTGCCTTTACACCGGCGCACCCCGAACGCTCCCCCGTCACCACTTTACCACCAAAACGCACCTCTCCACCACTAACAAACACACCACCCAGCGCCTCTAATCCGGTCATGCCCAACAGCACGTCAACACCCAACAACCTTTCCGCCACTACCACAGCACGGACCACCGCCCGCCGGCCTTGTGCCTCCAGCAGCACCTCTGCACTCCCGCAGCATCGCACGACACTCCCATTCACCGCGGTCAAGTTTGTCTCACATCGATCCCATTTATCGACACAACCCGCGAACACCACGGTCTCCTCGCAGCCCGTGTCCACCAGCGCGTGACACGGTCGCCCGTCGAGCAGCATCTGGATTACCGGCGCTCTGCTGCCGGCTCGGTGGACGGCGGAGGAGGTGCTGGCGCTGATGCAGCTCCCCCGCCGCAGCCGTTTGGGCACATCCGGGCGATATGACCTGGGCGACCACATATCCAGCATCTGATCGGAGCCGGCCGGCGACTTGACCTTGAAATGTCACGTGATGGCCCACTCGCCGCCGCCGCCGCCGCCCCCGCCGCCGCCGCTGCCGCCGCCGGTGGCGCTGCCGTGACTGCTGTCCTGGACAGTACGGCTCTCGCTCGGTCCAGGACGTACTCGAGAGTGAACTCGTCTCCGAGCCCGTCCCGAACCGCAGCTTGCGCAGCCTCCGGCAGCCCATTGACGAAGGTGATGGCGATAGCTCTCTCCGGCAGACCTCCCATCAACTCAGCGAGCTGCTGCAGCGCCGCTAAGTACACATCCGCCGTCTCTCCGGATGAAGGCGACGCCGTGCCATTTCCGCCTGCGCGGTGAACGGGTCCATGGCGAAGGCCCTCAGCAGCTTAGCCTTCACGCTGGGCAGCTGATGACGAGTCGCTACGGGCATTCGGGACCACACCGCGAAAGCACCGCCGCGCAGGCGAGTCGGCAACACAGCCATCAAGGACACTGATCGCAGCTCGCACAGGAGAGCAGCCTGCTCCAGCCACTCCACTACGTTTCCAGTTCCGTCGAACTCCGGAATAGTCCTGGCGTCGAACGCCGGAGTCACCTCCATCACCGCTCTTCCCGCGGCGTCACTGGTCTCCTCCTCGACACTCGGCATCTTCTCACCACTTGTCAGAAAAATGCCGAAATAGCTTGTGGCATTCAAACTTTGCGTCTATCGTAGACTGTATTTCTTCACCCTTCAGACATCTCAACGCGGACACCGACCCGTCCTCTCTCTCTCCCGCCCTGCTCTCCACTGCCCGCCCGTCTCTCATTGTCCAGCCGGGCCGCCCGAGATACGGGCCGGCGTGTCCCTGCTGCCGCGCACATGTGTGGCACATGGACCTCCATTTATGACCACTTATGACCCGACGCCGACCCTACGCGACAAGGCTAGAATACAAACTATGTGAACAAACAGAGAGACACAAGCAAACAGAGACCTATTTGGGGACTGCGCCTCACCAGAACATCAAACACCTGCCATGTGTTTCTGGATCCACCGATAAAATGCCAGAAAACTCAACGGCAGATATCCATCCTCAGTGGCCAAAGGGAACTGCAACAATAGATTAATAGAACATATAATTGCTGACAAGTTACAAGCCTAACTGTGGCTTCGGTGCATTGCAACACTGAAAGAGAAGCAGTGCAATTGCAAAACAGGTCCAGCGAATTACAGAGCCGTGTTTGCAGAGCACCCAGTCCAAGGTTTAGTGATGACAGCAGGTGCTGTTCCAGAGACAAACGACGCCCCCGGGTGTACGCCGTAATGAGAGACAACAATTGTTCATCACACACGAAATGTTTCCGCATTTGACGGCACAGAAGCACGGGAGCGGTCGCTATAAGGGTCGGACTCGGGAGGCGTCAGCGCCCTTTTTACCAGACAATCGCAGGAGCAGATAACAGGTGTTATCATATAACGCCGTTAGCACCAGTAGTTAGGATCAGGCATTGGCATTCAAAAAATAATAATTTAATAAATAATAAATAAATAAATAAATAAATAAATAAATAAATAAATAAATAAATAAATAAATAAAACAAAATAAAACAGCGGCGCCTCGGTTAAAAGGTGACATAGACGACCCTGCTACGGCCGTCAGACTGGTGAAGATTGAAGCAGACAACCATATCGAGGCTCTTTAAAATGCTTAATTTAAAGGCTAAACTACAAACCTTCGAGTTTCACATATATTTTGAAAGCAATCCTAACTTATATGAACCCCAACTGACGCCTGAGGTCGAGTTTTTCACGTCCGGGTTTAATTTGGAAAAGTCGCCATCGCTAGGTGACCGCGGAGCGTGCAGTGAATTGCAGCGCTGCAGTAAACGGCGTGTGATGCCGGCGAGCGTCCATTTCATTTGGCCAGCGAGCCGTGGGTAGTGCGCCGTAGTACGCGACGTGGCTCTGTAGGACAGAGTGGGGCGGGGACTATCCTGTATAGGATAACTATGGAATAGTCCCCGCCCTGCCGCAACTATAGACCTGCGGCGTGGCGGGGCGGGATCCGTCTGGGGTGGGTGAGCGGTATAGAGCAGAGTGTCTCCTGGGAGAGGCGTCTCTTCTGTGCGCATCGGCCGCCCGGCTGGTACTTCCGGAGCGGGCTGGTGCGGGCCGTTCTTTCTCTAGTGTCGAAAGTTTGCAGAGTAAGAGGGCAGAGAGTAAGGAAGGAGGCGCCTGGCCGCCCCAGGACGGCACTTCCGCGTCCATCCGGCCGTCCGACACGGCGTCAAGACGACACCGCCTGGGAGAATCGACCAAAGCCAGTGAGGAACACACTGTGCCAAACAACAGCACTACGGGTCTACTCTGCGCTGGCCCACAAAGGGAGGGGCTGGGACGGTTCACACAAATCACAATACAGGCCCTGTCGAGGAGCTGAGAGAGCTGCTCAGAATCACTGAAAGAATGCAAGGAAAGGAATGACGAGAGTAGCAGCTTTTCCAGTTCGCAGAGGCCCGCGCTCCAGTTCGGCATATTCTAAATTATCACCGCCGTATAGCATACGTTGAGCTCGCGGTCGCTGCATCGGGATTGTGAGTAACGTTCGCAGGTTCGCAGGTTTGACGAGCAACAATACAATTTCCCGTGTCATTGGTCTCGATGAGCGGCTCAATATGCAAGTCATTTCGCGCAAGTCACCTATTAATATTGTAAAGGTGCTACGGCCTAGATAATGCAGAAAATGATTAGAATGCGCCTTTACACATCATAATCTTATTAGAAAATTATTAAGGCACTGACACTCCATTCGGTTCAAGCAAATAGGTAGCTGCAAGATAATTGCGGTAACCATCGAATGCCTAAAAGACCTGAAAATAAATCCAAGCTCCATGTCCATTATCACATAAGGCGAATGGACGTAAGTACGGTCATGCAGATTGTGCGTATTGTACGTGCACATGAATCCTGCAATTTATGCACACCAGTTGCCAACGGTTCTGTCGACTACACGGCACATGTCTCCTATGGCCTTATCCCATTCGAATTATCGGGTCATGGACGGAGCGCCACGATTAAGGCCATCCCATAAGAGACCAGTACATTTCATCGCTGCACGGACAGCACCAGCCGCCCATAGTGAGAGTTACAAGCGGGTCGGCCCACGGACCGCCCGCCGGTCGACAGCAGACCGAGCGACCGACGGACCGGGCCGGTTCAGCATCGATCGACAGCCACCGTCGACCGACGCACCGCGCTGTCACACTTATCTCAATTAGCGTTATAAGCTCGCGGGCTGTGTATGTAGCTGGCCGATGCTGGAAGGCGTTGGGGCCGGGGAGACGGAGTGGGTTTGGGAGACGCGATGTAAGCAACAGCGCGAGTTACAGGTGGCGTAAATTCCAGTAAAAACAAACTCATGCTAATCGGATATTGGTGTGTGTGTGTGTGTCATGTGACACTTTTTGCAGCTGGTCGTTGGTACACTCTTAGACACCTTCTCCGTTCCACTGCACTCGGTTCTCATTTCCACGACGTTAGTAATAAGCATGAATGTGTAGCGCAATGCGTTAAAGCTCACACATAATTATACTGTGCCAGACAAACACTAACCCGTTCCCAGCCTGCCCCACCCTAACACCACTGTAGCGTTACGGGGCTGGCTGCGGCTGAGGCGTACCTCGGATCGACCAACAGAGCTGTAAGGAAGCGCCGAATGGACGTCACTCTCCGACCTGTCTAAGCAAACAACATTAGCAAGAAGCAACCCTGAGCCACACTTGTTCTCGGAACCCCTCGGCCCTCACATGCCGGACACGGTGTGCCTTACTCCATTCCACCCCACACACGAGCAATGCAAGTTTGAACAGGATGTTCAGAGACGCGTGCCTGTTATCGACCTTCCGCGTGTGCGCCGCCTGCAGCTGGCGTCTCCTTCGCGTCCGGGTTGGGCCAGGGGCGATCGGAACCCTACCGCCTGTCGGGCAGGCAGGCGCGCCCGATCAAAGGGCTACTTTGATCAGGCCCAGGGAGATGGGTGGTGACAGGGGAGGGTCCTCGGGCGCTGACACTTCCAGCGAGAGGTCACGGGGAGGGGTCAGACGCTGTAACCGAGCCGTGCCTCCACCGCCGTTCTTCCCTGCCCGAGCCGGGTCTCCCAGCGGACCACAGCCAGGGTCGCGCCGGCAACGACAGCGCTCAGCTGCCGGGAGGCCGTCGACAAATCACCGGCTAATTAGCGAAATTGGCTAGCGCG